TCCTGAACATGAAGGACACTGAGTTTCCTGGCTAAAATGGCCAACGCGTGTCCTGCACACTAAGTAAAAAAGATCTATTCTAAGGAACATTGTTATCTCTGATGTTCTGAAATTTTACAACCAGTGGGAACTCAATAGCACAAATAATTTGGTGTGTTCAAAAACATACTACAAGGAAAAAAGGAAAGATATAGATGGAGAACTTGTAGGGTGAAAGAGACTAACAGACATATAGACATGTAGACCTAATTGAGATGCAGAATCAAACTGTAAACATACATAATATTTATGCCATTTATGAGATAATTTAAAATTTGAATAATGCCTGGATATTTGACTATATTCAGTAATTATCATTAAACAATTTATGTGTGATATTGATAATGCAACTTTAAATAACGGAACCTTTATTTTTGGAAATCATAATTGTTCATAAATTGATCATTGTTGAAGCTGGTCATGGATATTAGGTTCATTATATCATTCTGTCTACTTTTACATACATTTAAAGTTTTCCATAATGAAAATATATTCTAAAAACAGAGGATCAAGAGCATTTTTGGAGAGGAAGAGAGTGAGAAAAGGGTCACAAACAAAGAATACAAACCAGAATAGCATCAGGCCTCACAGTAACAACAGAAGAAAATAGAGGCAAGGCCTTCAAATTCCAAGAGAAAATGACTTTCAACTTAAAAATCTATATTCGGTCCAATTACATCTACCCTAATACTGCCAACAAAAACAGTCAAACTCTGTAAAATATTTGAAGAGATTTATTCTAAGCCAAATACGAGTGACCAATGGCCTGTGACAGCCCCAGGAGATCCTGAGAACATGTGCCATGTATGTGTCAGGCTACAGCTTGGTTTTATATATTTTAGGGAGACACAAGACATCAATCAATACATGTAAAATGTACACGGGCTCAGTCCAGAAAGGCAGGACAACTGGAGGGGGCAGGCGGCAGGGGCCCTCTAGGTCACTGAAATAGTATTTCCTCTCCTTACTAATTTAAAAAGATACCTTAATATGTTAAATTGTTATATAATATCTACAACCCTACTCCTGGCTTTTCAATTCAGTTTCATTAAAAGTCTGCAGCAACAGTTAATTTTAGGTATCAATCTGACTAGACTAAGGAATACCTAAAGAACTGGTAAGGCACTCTTTCCATTACTTGTGGGTGTATCTGTGAGGGGTGTTTCCAGAGAAGACTGGCATCTGCGCCAGTGAACTTAGTAGGGAAGATCTGCCCTCACCATAGGCAAGCACCATCCAACTGGCTGGGGGCCTGGATAGAACAAAAAAGGAGAGAAAATAATTTTCTCTCTCTCTCTCCCACTCTATCTTCTCACCGCTTCCTCTCTCTCCTCCTCTCTCTCTCCCTCTTTCCTCACCTCTCTCTCCCCACTCTCTCCCCTGGAGCACAGACACTTTCCTCCTCCTGCCCTTGGACATCAGAACTCAAGGATCTCTATCCTTGAGGCTCCAGGTCTTACACCAGTGGCACCCAAGGTTCTCAAGCCTTCTGCCTCAGGCTGAAAATTACACCATTGACTCCCCTGGTTCTGAGTTTTTCAGACTTGAACTCAGCTATGCTACTGGCATCCCAGAGTCTCCAGCTTACAGATGGCCTGTTATGGGTTTTAGCCTCCATAACCAAACAAACCAGTTCCCTTAATAATCTCCTCCCATCTATCTATCTATCTATTTATAGATGCAAAAATCCTCAATAAAATACTGGCAAACGAATCCAGCAGCACATCAAAAAGCTTATCCAGCATGATCAAGTTGGCTTCATCCCTGGGATGCAAGGCTGGCTCAACATACACAAATCAATAAACGTAATCCATCATATAAACAGAATCAAAGACAAAACCACATGATTATCTCAAGAGATGCAGAAAAGGCCTTCGACAAAATTCAACAGCGCTTCATGCTAAAAACTCTCAATAAACTAGGTATGGATGGGATGTATCTCAAAAAAATAAGAGCTATTTATGAAAAACCCACAGCCAATATCATACCGAGTGGGCAGAAACTGGAAAAATTCCCTTTGAAAACTGGCACAAGACAGGGATGCCCTCGCTCACTACTCCTGTTCAACATAGTGTTGGAAGTTCTGGCCAGGGCAATCAGGTAGGAGAAAGAAATAAAGGGTGTTCAATTAGGGAAAAGAGGAAGTCAAATTGTCCCTGTTTGCAGATGACATGATTGTATATTTAGAAAACCCCATCGTCTCAGCCCAAAATCGCCTTAAGCTGATAAGCAACTTCAGCAAAGTCTCAGGATACAAAATCAATAACAGACAAACAGAGAGCCAAATCATGAGTGAACTCCTATTCACAATTGCTTCAAAGAGAATAAAATACCTAGGAATCCAACTTACAAGGGATGTGAAGGACTTTTTCAAGGAGAACTACAAACCACTGCTCAAGGAAATAAGAGAGGACATGAACAAATGGAAGAACATTCCATGCTCATGGATAGGAAGAATCAATATCATGAAAATGGTCATACTGCCCAAAGTAATCTATAGATGACATGCTACCCCCATCAAGCTATCACTGGCTTTCTTCATAGGATTGGAAAAAACTACTTTAAATTTCATATGGAACCAAAAAGAGCCCGCATAGCCAAGACAATCCTAAGCAAAAATAACAAAGTTGGAGGTATCACGCTACCTGACTTCAAACTATACTATAAGGATACAGTAACCAAACAGCATGGTACTGGTACCAAAACAGAGATATAGACCAATGGAACAGAATAGAGCCCTCAGAAATAATACCACACATCTACAACCATCGGATCTTTGACAAACCTGACAAAAACAAGAAATGGGGAAAGGATTTCCTATTTAATGAATGGTGTTGGGAAAACTGGCTAGCCATATGCAGAAAGCTGAAACTGGATCCCTTCCTTACATCTTATACAAAAATTAATTCAAGATGGATTAAAGACTTAAATGTTAGACCTAAAACCATAAAAACCCTAGAAGAAAACCTAGGCAATCCCATTCAAGACATAGGCATTGGCAAGGACTCCATGACTAAAACACAAAAAGCAATGGCAACAAAAGCCAAAATTGACAAATGGGATCTAATTAAACTAAAGAGCTTCTGCACAGCAAAAGAACCTACCATCAGAGCAAACAGGCAACCCACAGAATGGGGGAAAATTTTTACAATCTATCCATCTGATAAAGGGCTAATATACAGAATCTACAAAGAACTTAAACAAATTTACAAGAAAAAAATCAAACAACCCCATCAAAAAGTGGGCAGAGGATATGAACAGACACTTCTCAAAATAAGACATTTATGCAGCCAACAGACACATGAAAAAATGCTCATCATCACTGGCCATCAAAGAAATGCAAATCAAAACCACAATGAGATACCATCTCACACCAGTTAGAATGGCGATCATTAAAACGTCAGGAAACAACAGGTGCTGGAGAGGATGTGGAGAAATAGGAACACTTTTACACTGTTGGTGGGACTGTAAACTAGTTCAACCATTGTGGAAGACAGTGTGGTGATTCCTCAAGGATCTAGAACTAGAAATACCATTTGACCCAGCCATCCCATTACTGGGTATACATCCAAAGGATTATAAAGCTACTATAAAGACACATGCACATGTATGTTTATTGTGGCACTATTCACAAGAGCAAAGACTTGGAACTAATCCAAATGTCCATCAATGATAGACTTGATTAAGAAAATGTGGCAGATATATACCATGGAATACTATGCAGCCATAAAAAAGGATGAGTTCATATCCTTTGTAGGGACATGAATGAAGCTGGAAACCATTACTATGAGCACACTATCACAAGGACAGAAAACCAAACACCACATATTCTCACTCATACGTGGGAATTGAACAATGAGAACACTTGGACACAGGATGGGGAACATCACACACCGGGACCTGTCGTGGGACTGGTGAAGGATAGCATTAGAAGATATACCTAATGTAAATGACAAGTTAATGGTTACAGCACACCAACATGGCACATGTATACATATGTAACAAACCTGAACATTGTGCACATGTACCCTAGAACTTAAAGTGTAATAAAAAAGAATGAATTAATTTTTTAAAAATTGTCATATGTTATTTTCTGCCTAGCCTCCTTATTGAATGTTTTTACTAGCGTTGATAATTTTAAAGCTGATTTTACTATTCATTTTATGTACATATCATCTAAAAATACTAGGAATCACACTTCCTTCCTCCCAAAAGTTATAATCCTTATGGCTGTTCTTAACAATGTTAGATGACACAGTGAGTTTAATAAGTGTTAACTCTAGCACTTTACCATTAAATACTCTTCCTAAGTATTCATTTGTCTAATAAAGATTATAAATTATATTTAGGACAAAACTTCTTTATCTGTTTAAATATTTCATTTCCCACAAAGCAAAGAAAAATTTTAAAAAGATGAACTAATAAATCAATTAGATTTCTCTTAAGATTAAAGTTATTTTCAGTATAATTCACTAATAAAAATCCTATTTATCCTATTTTTCATCTGTAAATTGATGCTCCTTTCCCAATAAAGTCTCATCTGAAAATCATTCCACATAACCATACATGATTCAAACTACAAAATTAAAATGTAATATCACTTTTATCATTTAGAACTTATGTACACCAAAACTTTTCCTGCATTGCTTACTCAACCTAACAATGTAAACAATTACTCTCAAACTTCCCAAATATTTCATGAGAGTCAATTGTTCAAAAGTGAACAGATTTTTTTAAACTAGGGCAAAACACAAAATACTCAGATACAAAAGTTTTCAAAGAAGCCAAATATACATTATAAACAGGTATTCCTAAAATTAGTTTTATATATTAGCACAGAGTAAAACTCTCCAACCTTAAATCACGGAATGGGTTTTACATACATGCGTGTGTGTGTGTGTATGTGTGTGTGTGTGTATGAAAGTTTGTACACATATATATTAAAGAATAAGAAAATGTACCTCAAATTCTTTTCTAAGGCGTTCCTCTCGTTGAGTGCTAAATTCAAGTTCACTTGTTTGTCGCCGTAAAAGGTCAGAGCAGTCCATATGTTCTGTTTCTAATTTTTCTACTTTCTTATGCATATTTTGCACAGCAGTATCTTGCTCCTGGAAAATAATTCATTTTTGCATCAATAAAGTTTATAAGCCATCAATGACTAAGAGTCACTCCAATAGAAGACAGGGAGTAACTAAATCTGTGCTTCAACCATAATAATAGGTTAATTTATATAAGCAAAAGAGGCCAAGATATTTTCCATCAGTGTTTCAGAATGTCCATGTGTTTAAAAGCACTACTGAATTTTTACAGTTCAAAAACTCTGATTAATATTACAATGGAAACTCTTATAGCATATAACAAAGTTATATTAGTTTAACTGACCTCTGAAGGTATTTATGTAATGCTGTAGTTCAATAATCATATACAATGCTTCCCCTTCCCATTAAAATTTGTAAATGTATATTACCCTTTGTGTAACAAGAAATGATTAACTTGAATGCCTAATAATGTTTATAATGCTTATAGGAGCTCACGGTACTTATATTACATGCTTATATTACAAGCTTTTAAAATTGCATCCACTAGATGGCTGTGTTTCATTTCCTCTTAGATTTTCGAAAAGCTTTGAAATCTTTGCTCGGCTATTGAAAAGGAAATAACTTCAGGTAGTCTTATACTAAAATCTCTCAATCCCCTTTCCCAACTAAACACAGAAATGGGAGTTGAATTTTATTGAAAAAGTTCAAACGTAAAGTTCACACATATATCAAAGGCATTCTCCACCGTAACTAATCTAGATTCATTGTTCTCATTTAAGGCCTTTAACAAAGTCCTCTTTCCCGTATTTCCCTCACCAGAGTATGTTATTCATGGACAAACACATTATGAATATGTACATATGCTTCCAAGAATACCTAGCCACTCAAAAGATACAATTAGAATCTGAGTATGTTGCAAACATCAAATATAATTCCCTATCAAAGATCCTAGTTTGAAAAACACCCAGCATCCTAAGTCCACAGTGAAAAGATGAGGAAACATTTAAAATTCAACTTCTTATTTCATATCTCCAACTTCTTATTTCTTATTTTTTTAACTTTTGTTTTAGGTTCAGGGGTACATATATAGGTTTGTTATACAGGTAAACTCGTGTCACAGGGATTTGTTGTACAGATTATTTCATCACCCAGGTACTCAGCCTAGTATCCAATAGTTATTTTTTTCTGATCCTCTTCCTTCTTCCACTCTCCACCCTCAGGTAGGACCCAGCGTGTGTTGTTCCCCTCTTTGTGTCCACGTGTTCTCATTGTTTGGTTCCCACTTAGAAGAAAGAACATGTGGTATTTGGTTTTCTGTTCCTGTGTTAGTTTGCTAAGGATAATGGCCTCCAGCTCCATCCATGTTCCTGCAAAGGATATTATCTCATTCTTTTTTATGGCTGCATTGTATTTAATGGTGTATATATACCACATTTTCTTTATCTAGTCTAACACTGATACGCATTTAGGTTGACTCCATGTCTTTGCTATTGTGAATAGTGCTGCAATGAACATATGCATGCCATGTGTCTTTGTGGTAGAACAATTTCTACTCCTTTGAGGACACACCCAGAAATGGGATTGCTGGATCAAATGATAGTTCTGCTTTTAGTTATTTCAGGAATTGCCACATGGTTTTCCACAATGCTTGAATGCACTTACACTCTCGCCAATAATGCATGAGTGTTCCCTTTTCTCCACAACCTTGCCAGCATCTGTTATTTTTTTGACTTTTTAATAATAGTCATTCTGACTGGTGTGAGATTCCAATTCCTTATTCTTGTTCTTACGAATCCTCTTATTCATAAGATTACTATTCTATAGCAGACTATACATGAACTCTTAATAATTACTTTCTTCAGTTAACAGACTTCTTAATACAGGCATATCTTAGAAATATGGCTGGTTCAGTTCCAGACCACTGCCATAAAGCAAATATTGCAATAAAGTGAGTCACATCAACTTTTGGTTTCCAAAAAATTGCAAATAAAAGTAATGCTTGCACTATACTGTAATCTATTAAGTGTGCAATCGCATTATATATTAAAAAAAGTATTTATTTTAATTTAAAAATACTTTATTGAGGCCAGGCGCAGTGGCTTACGTCTGTAATCCCAGGACTTTGGGAGGCCAAGGTGGATTTATCACTTGAGCCCAGGAGTCCGAGACAAGCCTGGCCAACATGGCAAAACCCCATCTCTACTAAAAATACAAAACAGCCAGGTGTGGTGGCACACATCTGTAATCCCAGCTACTGCGGGAGGCTGAGGCAGGAGAATCGCTTGAACCCGGGAAGCAGAGATTGCAGTGACTTAATATCATGCCACTGTACTCCAGCCTGGGCAACAGAGCAAGACTCTGTCTCAAAAATAAATAAATAAAATTAAAATACTTTATTGCTTAAAAAAAAAAAAAAGATGCTAACCATCATCTGGCTCTTCAGGAAGTCATCATCTTTAATGGTGGAAAGTCCTAACTCAACGTTTGTTGATGACTGTTGACTGATCAGGGTGGTAGTGGCTGAAGGCTGGGCAGTCAGGGGCAGTTTCTTAAAATAAGGCAACAAAGAAGTTTGTTACATTGGTTGACTCTTTCTTCAAAACATTTTCTCTGTAGCATGCAATGCTGCCTGATAGCATTTTACTAGCAGTAGAACCTCTTTCAAAACTGAAACCCTATGGCTGCTTTAGCAACTAAGTTTATGTAATATTCTAAATCTTTTTCTGTCATTTCAATAATGTTCACAGCATCTCCACCAGGAGGAGTTTCCATCTCAAGAAACTATCTTCTTTGGTCATCTATAAGAAGCAACTCCTCACCCATTCAAGTTTTATGAATGCATGAGATTGCAGCAATTCAGTCACATCTTCAGGCTCTGCTTCTAATTCTAGTTTTCTCACTATTTCCAACACACCTACAGTAACTTCTTCCACTGAAGTCTAAAACCCCATCAAAGTTATCCATAAGGACTGGAACCAACTTCCTCCAAACTCCTGTTAATGTTAACATTTTGACCTCCTCTCGTGAATCACAAATGGTCTTAAGGGCATCTAGAATGGCAAATCCTTTCCAGAAAATTTTTGATTTAATTTGCCTAGATCCATCAGAAGAATCACTATCCATGTCAGCTATAGCCTTATGAAATGTATGTCTTAAGTAATAAGACTTGAAAGTCAAAATTCTTCACTGATGCATGGGCTGCTGAATGGATGTTGTGTTAGCAAGAATGAAAACATCAACCTCCTTGTACACAACCATCAGAGTTCTTCAGTACCAAGCACATTGTCAACAAACAATAATATTTTGAGAACAATCTTTTTTTTTTCTGAGCAGCAGGTTTCAACAGTGGGCTTAAATATTCAGTTAAATATTCTGTAAAGAGATGAGCTGTCATCCGGGCTTTGTTGTCCCATTTATAGAGCACAGGCAGAGTATATGTAGCATAATTCTTCAGGGCCCTAGGATTGGAGAACGATAAATGAGCATTGACTTCAACTTCAACTCACTAGCAATATTAGCCCCTAACAAGAGAGTCATCCTGTCCTTTGAAGCATTAAAGCTGGGCACTGACTTCTCTCTAGCTCTGAAACACCTAGATGACATCTTCCAATAGAAGACTGTTTTGTCTGCAATGAAAATCTGTTTAGTGTAGCCACCTTCATCAATTATTTTAGCTAGATCTTTGGGATTACTTGCTACAGCTTCTATATCAGCAGTTGGTTTCACTTTGCACTTTTATATTATATAGAAGTCTTCTTTCCCTAAATGTCATGAACCAATCTGTCCCAGCATCCAACTTTTTTCCTCCAAATTCCTCACCTCTCTCAGCCTTCATCAAATTGAAGAGAGTTAGGGTCTTGTTCTAAATTACACTTTGGCTTAAGGGAATGTTGTGGCTGGTTTAATCTATCCAGACCACTACAACTGTCTTCATGTCAGCAATAAGAATGACTGACTCTCTTATCACTTACATGTTCACTAAAGTAGCACTTTTAATTTCCTTCAAAAACTTTTCCTTTGCATTCACAACTTGGCTGTTCGGCATAAAAGACAAAGCATTTGGCCTGTCCTGGTTTTCAACATTCCTTCCTCACTAAGCTTAATCATTTCTAGCTTTTGATTTAAAGTGAGACAGGTATGAGCCTTCCTTTCACCTGAACACTTAGAGGACATTGTAGAGTTAACTGGCCTAATTTCAATTTTGCTGTGTCTCAAGGAATAGGGAGGCCAGAGAAGAGGGAGAGAGTTGGAAGAACGGTTGGAGAGGAGTAGTGAGAACACATACATTTATAAATTAAGTTCATCACCTTATGCAGGCATGGTTCATGGTGCCCCAAAACAATTACAATAGCAGTAACATAAAGACCACTGGTCAGGGGAGGGGCCAAGATGGCCAAATAGAAACAGCTGCAGTCTGCAGTGCCTAGCAAGACCAACACAGAAGGTGGGTGATTTCTGCATTTCCAACCGAGGTACCCAGTTCATCTCACTGGGACTGGTTAGGCACTGGGTGCAACCCATGGGGAACAAGCAGAAGCAGGACTGGGCGTCACTTCACCCTGGAAGTGCAAGGATCCAGGGAACTCCCTCCCCCAGCCAGCTAGGGGAAGTGGTGAGGGACTGTGCTACCCGCCCTGAGTACTATGCTTTTCTCATGGGTTTTTGCAATCCGCAGATCAGGAGATTCCCTTGTGAGCCTACACCACCAGGGCCCTGGGTTTCAAGCACAAAACTGGGCGGCTGTTTGGGCAGACACCGAGTTGCAGGAGTTTTTTCGTACTCCAGTGGCACCTGGAACTCCAGCGAGAAAAGAGAACCGTCCACTTCTCTGGAAAGGGGGATGAACCCAGGGACCCAAGAAATCTAGCTCAGCAGGTCCCACTCCCATGGAGCCCAGCAAGCTAAGAACCACTGGCTTGAAAGTCTTGCTGCCGGCACAGCAGTCTGGAGTTGACCTGGGATGACAGATCTTGGTGGGGGAAGGAGCGACCGCCATTACTGAGGCTTTAGTAGGTAGTTTTCCCCTGACAGTGCTGAGACTGGGAGGTTCGGACTGGGCAGAGTCACCA